TGGCGTTAAGCTAATACCTCTTTGGTTAGCACAGTCTGTGCGACTGCCCTTCTTGTATATGGCCACTAGAATTGATTCACTCCAGTTAGCCGAGACGCCCTTCCAGATATGTTCTAATAAGAAGGTCAGTGCTTTGCATAGGACCATCCTTAAACTGTGCAGGTGGAAGGGAATCCGGGCCAGCGGCACGAAAACGGTTAAGGGCTGCGATCGCATTTCGGACCTCGGCCTCCGACAAAGGCTCTAAACTAAGCGTCCATGGCTTGTCCTGCATCACCTGAGTAGGAAGAGGTGCGGGAGCAGGTGGCCAGCTGAACTGATTTTGAAAGTGTTCCGCCCAGCGAGCCATACGGCGCTTCTTACTGTGTAGCAGTACACCCGCGCTGTCTCTGATTGTCACACTGACGCCTAGTTTCCTGGGACCGGTGGCGCGGATCACCTGGAAGAGTTTGTGATGGTTTCATACTGATCCCGCCTCCTCCATTTCTTGAACTTGACTGATCCATCAGGCTTCCTTATCAGCATGGAGGCTCCGCAATAGTTCGCGCCTAATAGTCCGTCTGATCACATTGTGCTCAGAACCAGTAGGAACTGTTCTGTTCTTCTTCCGCATTCCAACTCGGATGTCCACTGACTGCTACGGCGACGACTGATAGTGTCACAAGCAGATGTTCCTGCATCGTGTATGGTGGCTGAGATCTTATTCCACTGAAGCTTAGTATCATTAGGACAAGACAGCGAAAGTTCGGTATGCAGTGCGTCTTGATAGGCTTGCCTGACCGAGACAATTTCTCCGTTGCCAATCAGGGTAAACGCCAGGTGTGCCTCCGGGTAAAGTTTATAGAGAAAAGACAGCGTATCAAGGCATGATCAGAGTCGAAGCAGTCATTCCAGAACGAGCAGCAATCCAGGATGGAAGCACGCCACCTGTAACTTACGGCTATGTGGTCAATTTGGGTCCATCGCTAGCCAGCTACAGGAGGACGCCAAGTGGCGCTTCGGCATCCAATGTGTTTAAAAACAGTGCTACTAAGAAACAGATGGTGCTGCGCACACAGTTGTAACAGACGCCCACCGTTGTCAGTCCGTTCGGAGCTAAGCCCATAATTACCACCTAGCTGAGCTTCTGAAGTGGTGTGACGCCCTACTTGCGCGTTCATTTCCCCTGCAAGTATTATGACATCTGAACTAATAGTACTGAGTAGTAGCGAGTTCAGTTCGTGATAGAATGTGAAGTTGGCAGTATCAGAACTCCAGTCGATGGGAGCATAAGCAGAAATCACAAAACAAACAGCGCCTTATACTACGTCGTGAAGCAACCTTAATTGATATCGTAAAATGGGCTGCACATAAGCGGCTGTTCACCAGAACCTAATCAACCAACGATGGCTATGCTTTGAAGCCGAGAATGACACCTACCCCAGCTTGATCCGTGGGCGTTGCATCAGCGGCTCCGGATGCGTACAACCAGTAGCGAGAAGACAAGCCGGGAGCCGTCATTTCAACAACCCTATGAGGGTCATTAATCCCAGTTTCTGATAGGCACCACACGTAAAACTTAATGGGTCCAACCTGTGTGCGAGTGCAGCATGTTGACCTATTTGTCCTGGAATGCGAACGTTGAACGCCGCCAGGGAAACGGGACAGAATGGCCTTATAAGGGACGGTTGCCGACAGACGTCCGGATGTTGTGGGAAGGTGACTTCATATGGTTCTATTCCAGTGGCACTTCGGTTGCTGTCAAGTAAGCTGGGAAGTATAGTAGGAAAGTTAATAATGGGGTCGGGATGGGAGTAAGAGAAACAGATGGAAAAGTAGGACGTTAGCAGTAGCATGTTTTCGATTATCCGCCTTGCCGTATGCAGCAGATAAGGTGGCCCTTGATAATCTGCGCGACGACCGATGCAAGATGTAGTTAGAGTTTGGAAAAATGTCATGATTGTATGTGGGCTGAGATACTGCCAGGGCGCCCAAACCTAGACAGGAAGACGACTAGGGTCCTCAACCAAAGCCTTTGGGTCAAAAGCCCATCCGAAAGGCAGCGAGGTGGCAGAATTAGTTTTACACAAATGGACGACATCGCATTTCAAACCCCCAACCTGGAGGACCAAGAGACTGAGTTTGCCTGACCCTTAACCATTGACCAACCTGTTAGGATTAGCTCTAAAGGGGCCAGGGGGCATCACGGTATAACTCAATGGGTCGAAGGGATACGCAAACCATCGCACCAGGTTAATTTACCGTCTCATTGCGACGGGTGTAAATACTTGTGAAATCAAACAGTAGGGACTTAGTAATGACGAGAAAAAGCAGGAGTGTGTTAAGTGATGAAGCGTTGAACTAAGCGCTGGGTTTATGTACATACTCAGTGAAGAAAGCATTAGCAGTAAGCCGGTAGGCAGTGCCGAAGCTTCGCTGAGGCGCAACAACCACCGTTCGCGAGTGGGTTAAGAATACCGCGAGGGTCGCCCTGCCCCTATGCAGGCTCGAAACCGTGCTTCCAGATTACAAGAAAGGCTCGTTACCTTTAGGCTACGGGTGGTGAGTGTTTTGAAGGAATTCTTTCCGCAGAGTTGTCCTAGAAGCACCCACAGGTCATGGCAACTGTGGTTACTTAAAACAGTCTGGGTGTAGTGTTTAACTTTCTTATTTCAGCTTTTATAGCCAGGGACAGACATTTAACATGGGCAGTTAGCTTAGGTTTATAAGCCTGTTCTTTTTCTCCGCAGTTGTTTAAACAGAGGAGTGAAAATCCATTTCGCAAATAGATTGTCTCCGTGGGGCAACACGGATCAAAACAAGTTTATATAGTCTACGAGGTGCTCGCATTGACCTGATAAGTTTCCAGTTGTGAAAATTGAAGATTTGTTGAACAAAGTTGATTTGAGATTTTCGATGCTATTTGTTGAATAGTTCTGTCGTTTAACAGTCATGGATAGTCCTTTTGTAAACACAACATAGCTGAGCTTACTGTATAACTTAGGAAAACTATTACACAATGATTGGCATTAGCAACTACGAGCTTTTGTGTATAAAATAGTCGTTTGCTAGTAAAGACTACATTTAGATGCGCCGCGAGTCTGGTGAGTAATTCCCCCAAATTGACCAAACCCAGTGTGTTAATGAAAGTTGTGTCACTCCTACTGAAGTCACCGGTGAGAACACAATTGGAACATACCAACTTTGGTTGCAACCCCAAGTCAAGGTGAGCTGCAAAGGTTCGCAGCCCGAACAGCGCTGTGTCCGGAGCTACATACACGTTCCCAACTAGGAGAATTAGGAGAGCGCTCAAGAACCTTGATTTACACCAATAAGTGACAGCCTACTGAAGCCGTTGAGTACTCTGAGAGTTTTGAAACGGATTTACACCAATCTTTGTTGATATAAATGATGACACCTCTACAATGATAGAGGGTCTGCTGGGCGGTCGGATCTAATGTGGTAACCAACGAGATTAACGACTTCATCCGCAGTGTCAGAATGCAACCAAGTTTGATGCAACATCACTATACCTGCATTTACGAATCCCTTCGCTGTACTATGCCAGACAATCAACTTTCTCGAGTAGCGATCGTACATTGCTGAATAGCAACAGCGGAATTTGTGCCTTTTTAACGAGGCAGTGCTTGAGTCCTACTTGCCAAACAGCACGACACTTTTCTTTTTCGTGAGCCTTTCTTGATAGTTCTTTTGAAAGTGGTCCTGGTTTTGTGGCTGGAATCAACTAGAAGTCGGTTTTCGCACCTTGTCTCGAAAGTGAATCAAATCTTTAACAATATTGACGACTGTGGAACTGATACACTTAAACGAAGGGTAAAATAATTTTGTAAACATAGAGAATCCGCAGTGTAAAATAATATACCGATGGTAACAGCGGCGGTCGAATTTAAAGGCTCTCCTAATTGATTCTTAACAACAAGCGCCAGACAACCAGGGACAGCGCCAAAGCAGATTCATGATAAGGAGCGCTGTGTGGCTTATTAGGCTAAGCAATTTCGAGAGCATTGCAGTTGGGCACTGCTCCCGAACCTCTTCCGACTTAGTTGGTACATGATGAGCTTTGATCAGTCATTATAGAGACACCGTCTGAGACTGAGGTTCAAAACGCGATAATACCAATTAGTTATGTTCAAGCTGCTGGCCCTGATTCCCTCGCACTCGACCTATGCAAGGATGGTGGTGAGGCCCTCTGCAAAGCACTGACCTCCCCGTCCGAATAAGTCTGAAAGGAGCTATATCAGCTTGTGTAAATCGATTATAGTGGCAATATACAAGAAAATCAGCTTCACCGAAAGTGCCAACCACAGGGATATTAGCATACCACGGGTGAAAACAAAAGTTCTAACATCAATTTTCGTTCGTCACTATTGACGAAGTCATGGAGATAGCATTTACAGGACATGGCTTAGAAGGTGTGGAGCTACTCCAAGGAGAACGACTTCCTGACTTGGAGTATGCAGACGATACTGCTCTTACCTGTGACAGCTTCCAGACGTGCCAAGCTGCACTGGACGGATTAGCAATGGCTGTCAGCCGCTTCGGGCTTTACTTTGCACCATTGAAGTGCAAAGCTTTCCTCCAAGCTTGGCAGGGATCGCCTCCTGTGCTGACCCTTGGTGGGGATCAGCTAGAAGTCGTTCAGAAATTCAACTACCTAGAAAGTTGTATCAGCGTCCGTGGGATTGGAAATGAAATCACGAACGGAATATCAAAAGGGAAGAGCTCAATTTTTAAGAGTACATAAGATTGGTGGTTTGAAATAGGTCGAAGGAAGTGATTGCTAGCCGCAGCCGCTGTATGCAGGATACAATGTAGTGCAAATGAAACGCATTATCATAACCGTCAAAAGCGGTACATCAGAAAGAACATAATCAAAGTCAAGGATGAGGTGATTAAGAAAAATAGCGTAACCTGGTTAAAAAACCGCCAAGTTATTGAAAAACTAGTGACAATGAACAGGCAACACAAGAGGTATATAGCAACGAAAGTCATGAACTGACCTCTTCGAAGCGGTAAAAGTCTATTCTCTAATACATCCCTGGCATCAGTACCTTCATCCATAAGATCCAGCTTTGTAAGTACACCAATAGTTCTTAAACCCTGTGGGTCGTATTCTTTGGCGAGCTTCAGAGCATCAGAGTTAGCGAGATCGGTATTGGCAGGAGTGACCGCAAGAATTAAGCAATTCTCTTTCTCAATGAACTCAATAATCATATTACGGATTTGAATTTCTATGTCGGGTGGTTGATCACCAACGGGGACCTTAGTCATTCCAGGCAGATCCACCAAGGTCAGGTTTAGAACTGAGGAATATCAACGTTAGGCAAGATTACCGGAAGGGGAATGAATCCTCAGATTAATGGGAATATTGGATATTCCCTTGTTCGTCCCCGTAAGTCTATCTGTCTCTGCCTCTATTTCCTTTCTGATGTCATCGAAATCCGTGAATCTCTTGTTCTTCAAGTGGATAAATTCCCCAAATTCTACATGAAATAGCGAGATAAACATAAATATAAAAACAAACCCAGTTTATCATTAACAAGCTGTAAGACTAAAGGCCTTCGAGTGACGATTCCATTACCCCTAGGTAGGAAATCTCTAAATTAATAGTAGCAATAAATGCCAGAAAGGAACAACCTTCCGACAAAGTTCTCAAGTACCGAGCTTTTTCCAGCACTTTGACTCCCCACGACAGCAATCTGCGGCAAATCCAGAGAAAGTGGTATACTTAAAAATGCAAACGCATCCTGCAACTTATTCACTAGAGGAATAAGCTGTTCCATCCCCTTATTCCCGTACATGTTTATGAGAAGGACGGAGCAAATGCTGAGATCGCAAGCAGTACGTTCAAGGTCACCGAATGAATCTAGACTAATGCGATAACTGCAAGCACAAAAAAATGTTGCAAACATGCAAGTCTATACACTCTATTCCGATTACGTTATTTATGTAAAATCAGTTCAAGCATATGAAATTTTAAACCAGCTGCTTCATCTATTCCTGTATATCAGTGCAAGTTCAGTTGGGACCGGAACAACAGGACAACCTTGTGAATCTTCCTTCTTTTGCGTATCGTTGGAACGAGATTTTCTAGATCTCGTTGGGTTGCTGGATAATCTAAAACAAGGACTGCATCACATCTTATCCAACCAACTACTGCCCACATGTTCCAGCCATGCGGTCTCTGCCAGGCCGGTATATATGTAGTCGGAAAGAGTGGTCAAGCTTAGAAAACGAGAAGAGGAATGTAAGTCTTATAATGATACGCGTTACAAGAAGAACCAGATAAAACCAACCGAACGTGAAACATACAAGTCAAGTGGAAGATGGGGACTGTTTGGTGGTGCCATCCAAGTACACCTAACTGCCGCACGAAACCTTCTACCGTAGACTCCCTAAAGACTTGTTCCAAAGCGACGTGCATCGTTAAATAACCTGGCATGACAAGCGACTTTCCTTCCGTACTCTGCCGGAACGCAGTTTATGCAGCTTCAACGAGTGACCTTAGAGAGTAGGCAACTTGGTGGCATTATACAGCTTGGACAAGTTTAGGCCGATATTAGCCACTAGGATACAGTAAGTGACGGTCAAGTCTCCTCTAATTCTCCGTAGTGTGTTGAGTAAAATCCTATGTTAAGTAAACCTTCGGGATACGTTCGCCTCCACAAAACCTGCACTAACATTGAACCCACTCTCAAAACACTCGCTAGTTCAATTTTATCCCTTACAAGACATAGTGTACAAGCCTAAATCTAGTACTCTAAGTGGGATGACACAAAAGCTGAGAACAGCTTCCGTTAGGACACCAAAGGAGTGGCAAATAAATTACATAATTCGGAACCCTCTACAGTCAGCCTTTAATTGTCCTGAGTGATGCACTGAGGGGTTGACTAATTTGTTACTGGGTCTCCCAGCCACGTCGAGAAACAAAACATACCGGCTCGGCACTTTGGCGTTCTACTCACCATGCTGTGGTAAACAGTGCAACTAGCTGTATATTTAAAAACTTAAGCACCCATTCGGTTAATTGCCTGATCGACAGCATCAAGGCAAGCGAGTCCCTCCGCCTCCGCTTTCAGCAACTGTCATATCCTACCCTTTTCTTTCTCTTGCAATTGTGTTGCATTTTCCATACCTTCGCCACTGCTGGTGCGCTTGCGGTTTTCTCCGTTACCGCGTTGAGGCTGTAATGGACTGCTGCTAAAACGGGTAGAATGCGTAGTTCCTCCCAGCAGCCTTAGTTCAGTATCCTCATGCGTCGCTTTGACATCAATAATGCCGTCTGTTGCTTACTTGAGGGCGTTCACCGCAGCCTTCCCTTTTATGTGCACCATGAATTCGTTCCCTCTTATATGATAACTCTGTTTCACACTTCACTGCATTCCGATGTGTTGTTTTCCAGGCAACATACTAACGGTAGCTATTGAACCAAGTCTTGACCGTACTGGCAATCCTTGAATCTGGGATACTGCAGAAATTCAATGGTGATCTGCTTGATTTCCAAGTTATTTTGTATTCACGCGTGTGACCGTTGATCGCTTTCAGGCTTGACTGAACTATTTTTAACCATGGTGGCAGTGGGTAAAAGAATGCGATCGACCTTCACAGTACCTTACAAAACGCCCGATTACGTTCAAATTATCCGGTTTATTGTCCCAAAGGTCCAAGGCCCCCAATTTCCGACTAGCTTTAGGGCCGATAGAGTTTTTGAACCTCGCCAACTGGTATGGTCTTGTATATTCACGCAACTGGATCAACGCCGCGAATTCCATCCGATCCGTTTTCTGCGCTTTTCAGTCGTCCAACAAAGTGCTTTCCCTCAGCTCTGGTGTGGTTAGCGATGAGATGATGTATTGCTGTTCCATAACGAGCAAGGTTTGGCACCACTGTACCTCTGACACCATGTTTTGTGCCAGGTTTTCCCAGCTGCATCAAGAAAAGCCAAACACACGGGCTCAGCACACTAGCGTTCCACTCTTGCTTCTGAGGCGAAAGCGTAACTAGCTGATAATTTAATATCCCAGTAGCCCACTAGGCCGCTCGTTTGATGGACCGCACTGAGACAGATGAGTCCGTCCGCCTCCTGTTTCAGCCACCATCACATGGACGATGCCTAGATCAACTAGGTGAGTGACAACCTGGAGTTCACTTCCACCGACAACATGTCACGTGGTGAGGCTAGAACCTCCAATATGAAGGACAAGAAAATTCGCCTGATTTATAGGCAACAATCATATGGTTGACAAATCACATAGCCCATCCAAGGCACACCGAATGGCCTCAGAGCCCTCATGGCTATCCACCATATTCTAGAGCTTAAGCTCATCAGCAAACAATAGCGAAAGCAATTCACTCTCCCGTGCTAAGTCATTGACATTAAGTGCCAAAAGCAACGGCCCCTAAAACCGGCCCTGCGAAGCGCTACTAAGCAAAGGTTGTCTAAGCGAATGGCTAAGCTTCACGCCTACACAGTGTTCTCTCCCCTCTAGAAAATCAGACACCAATTTAAGTTTGCTTCCAGATATCCCATACCATCACAACTTTAGTGAGAGTAGTTGATGTAGGGCAGACTCAAGTATTTTCGAGAAGTCAACGAAAAGCATGTCTATTGCGTGACCGTTGTATATTGCTTCGGCGCAACTTTCATGCTCTACAAGTAAGTGCTTCAACCATGAATATATCCTACGGAAACTGTACTATGCAACACTGAGTGTTCAACTTATTCAGAGGTTTCTCTACCGAATCCATGCCCAATTTCTTACGCAACAACTACTACCCTTGTCACGCTGACACGCCAGCGCTTGGCCGGCCGCGCGCCACTAAAGCCAAGAAAAATGGGAGCGATGATTGCCCTTCCATTCTGAAGGTATGGTGCAGCTGTCGAGCACTATTGCAAACAGGCAAGTGTGAGCACCACGTTATGCAGCGGACACTTCATGCATTAACTTCGGATGAATTGAATAAGGGCCGGAAGCTTTATTAAGGATTCAGCCCCTGCAGTAGCCCGAAGGCTTATATCTTTGTTATGCTTATTTCTGTTAGGCAAGAATCCACCGGGATTCTTGTGTCCTGCTCAACCTGAGGCAGAGAGATCAAAGGAGAAAAGACACTAGTATACCCTTCATTAAGTGTTCTAGCCTTATTATAATCGGTATGCATACGGGTACGATTCACGTTTAGTGAAGCCGGTATAGACGAGTTGGTACCGCCGCTTCTTCACGTAATATAGGAAACTGGATTTGTTGCGCCCGCGTCAGCCGAATCCTTCTCGTACTGAATGTGTTCAGAAATATTGCTTAAATTTAGTTATAACCGCGCGATAACTTTCGTAGATGCTGGTTGATGAAGCCGCTTGGTAAGTTCGCCAGCAATTAGACTGCTTCCTGAGCAGGTATTTACCTGTAGGGTCTGAACAAGGTTTCTGCGCACGTGCCTCACTCCTCTTGAGGAGTTTGATGTGAGGAGCAGAGTTCGCGGTGTGGTATGCAGTAAAATGCTCCTAGACGGACTCAACCGTGTCAGCCACGGTGATCGCGCGGCGCACATTGAACCTTCGTCTCGCATTGCAGTAAAGGCTACCCGCCGGATGACATTTAGCGGGAGCACAATTTAAGCAATTTTCAGATTTACGTTCTGCTTCCGATGGGGCTGGTAGGATAGGGAAATCCCTTGAGTGGTCCTTCTTGAGTGGAGCGTTGAGCCAAAAAACGATAAGGTGCAACGGGGTCGTGAGGGAGTTAAAGTGAAACAACTGAAACACACCATGGTCAACCAACCACGTTCTCTGAACTAGCAATCCCCGCCATGCAGGTCACGTGAAGTAAGGAAGTCGTGGAAAGAAAAGGAAGATCAAGAAGAAGGAAAGTCATTTAAAGGTTGGGCAACACCAAAGAGTGAGGTGAATGACAGAAAATGAACTAAGATGAAAAGCACATCCACTATCTGGCCATTGTCTGTGGCCTCTACCAAAACTGCACGGGTAACCAACAAATTTGTCAGAGAAAATAGCCCTACTGCAACCCGTGTTGTGCATTACTGGGTGGCTTAACTCTATTTTAGTGTTCGCTTTCATTGCTTATTGCGCTGTAGATAGCAAGAAAACACGTCCACTCCGCCGATTCCGAGTCTTTCTGGGCTTGCTGGGCGACATTAAAATTCGGTGTTCATCGTGGGTACTTTATACTTGCATCGATGACATCTAGGTCCCACCATGCTCTTCGATTCCACGCTCCTCGAGTTCCTTAAGTCGTATAGGGCAGCTGGGGACCCGTATTAACCCCATCATTTCCAGATCAGCACTAGGTGCGCTATGCTGTCGCGACCCGCTAGTCCTCAAGCCACCAGAGCGGTCGCAATAGGCATTGGGTTATGGTTGTCGTGCTTAGCGGAACTTCGGTGAGCCATTTGAAGCTTTCCTCGGTCGTCGCAGCGAGTAACGTCACCTGCAGACCTTTTCACTCACTCATTATCAGACTGGAGATTGCGGCGGCGATGCGCACTTTGAAGCTGCTCGTTTTGCATAGCTTCAAGTTGTGGCCTGGTGTAGAGCCACCTATGTATAGCTGAAAAAGCTGCTATAGCTCGTCCCCCAATACCCCTCCTGGTATGCGATTCGTAACGTTGAGGTCTCTAGGACAGCGACGCCAATTCATGGCGAAGGGAGCAAAGAACATCACCAAGCCCGGAAACGGAATAGCGCCACGACTCTGGACTTTTCAATTCATGCACATTTAAGCTTAGTGTATGAATGTAGCTTACAACCAATACTCTAAAATAGGGCGCACATGGAGGTGTACAGGAATATTGTATATTGAATACCGTATTATGAATTAATAACGATGAATTCTGCACAACCCTTCCGAAATATGGTGAAAAGCC